TGGCCTTTGACCTTGCCAGGCCCCAGGACAGGGTCTTATTTTTAGTCTGGGAGAGCAGACAGGTGTCTGTCCCAGCTGAGTCACAAAGTGCCTCAGAGTTCAGCTACTCCCGGCATCTTGTCACTTGGCAACTGGGTCCCAAGGCACCCACGGCCCCCAAGGGAGGGCTGAGATCCTTGGTGTCCCAGCATGCAATGACCTTCTGGCTTAGTGGACTGAGCCCTGGGAATTTCTGTTTCCTTTCCCAGGTTCCTGACCCCACCCAGCTTTCCTTACTGGTGCTCTTGTGCAGAAAAAAAAAAACAGAAACCCTGGCCTATAGGCCTTCCTCTCACCTTCCCATCCCCAACATTGTTCTGAGTTTAAGGGCCTGGCCAGCTTCTCCTCATTCAGTGGGCTATTTTGGGTTACTTTGCTCACCACTGGACCGTGGGGCCTTTATCCTTGACTTGTACATGCCCTCAGCTTGGCATCTGATGGGGTTGCCCTGCCTCTGGAAGTTTTCTTGTCAAGATTTGGGGGAGGGGCCAGTAAATGGATCCCTAAATTTGCTGAGGATCTATCAAAGGTCCGACAGGTCCCACCCAAACTGGCTTTCTGGAAACCCACAATGCCAGTCTTTCTGGGGGCTTTGGGCTCCTCCTGACAGGCTGTCACACAGAGTGGCTGTTCTGGGTGGGTCTGGATTCGGAGTCTAGAGCATGACTAGGAGCCATGGGGAAGTAGAAATACCCAGGCTTTGTAAGTAGATGCGGCTGGAGGTTGTGTTTTGAGCCCCAAGCTGTAACACTCACTCTGTTGGCTTGGCAACTTGTGTCTGTGTAGAGTAAGGGTAGCCATGGGGAGACCTTTTCTCAAGGTCTTGGCAGATGTCAGAGATCTTGGAGGGTGAAGCCAGGAAAGAGGCTTGAAGCCTTCCTGTGTGAGCCCCCTCCAGAGGTGGGAAGCATGCGGGTTTGAAGTAGGGGCCTGGCAGTACCCTTATGTCTGTCTGAGGAACCCTTTGAGCAGCCCCTTTCTCGTGAGGCCCCAGGAAACACTGTGATTATTGCTAAGCATCTATGCATGTTGGCCCTACCGGTCCGGCTGTCCTCTCCCTCAGCAACACACCCCTGCCTCTCTTACAGGCGACCATGGCAGAGTTCTCACAGAAGCAGAGGAAGCAGCGTGGTGACGAAGGCCTGGGCAGTGTGGTGGACTTCCTCCTGGCTAATGCTCGTTTGGTGCTAGGTGTGGGCGGGGCTGCAGTGCTAGGCATTGCCACCCTGGCTGTAAAGCGGGTAAGGCCAGGCTGGCAAAGCCTGCCTGAGACCTCCACAGGAGGAGGTGGGACTGGGGAACTGAGGGATGGCGGGACTTTTTTGTTGTTTTGTTTTGTTTTTCAAGACAGTTTCTCTTTGTAGCACTGGCTGTCCTGGAATTCACTCCAAAGACCAGGCTGGTCTGGAATTCACAGAGATCTGCCTGCCTCTGCCTCCTAAGTGCTGGGATTAAAGGCGTGTGCTACCACCGCCTGGCAGTGGTGGGACTTTTTGAGGCTGAACTGGAACAACACGGGCCCCCTCCTTTTTCACTCTAGCTTCCTGGTGTGCTCCCCCCCAGCTTTGCCACGGCTCCCGATGCTCTGATCTGTGTCACTTTGCCTATAGCTCATCGACAGGGCCACTAGCCCTCGGGATGAGGATGACACCAAGGGGGACAGCTGGAAGGAACTGAACCTGCTGAGAGCCACATCACACCAACAGCCCCAACCCCCCCCTGCTGCCCTCAGCCAGCCCATACCTCTTGTGTCCCCCTCACCCTCTGTCCCAGGTGAGCGGTACTTCTTCCTAGCCAACGTGGTGAGTCCTGTGCAGGAGATGCAATCTTCACAAGGTTTTGCTCCTCTTTGGGTTGGGTACTCCTCAGGTGGTCCATAGGTATCATAGGTCTCTGTTTCTCTGTTGTGCTAAGGATAAAACCCAGAGCCTCCCAGATGCCAGACCAGTACTCCACCACTGAGTCGCTCCACAGCCCTGGGGTCCTTAATTTATCTGTCTGCTTTCGACCATAGCAAGCTCGCACCATATAATGGTGGAGAGCCTCAGATGGGGAAACTGAGGCCTGGAGAGATCAGGATATGTCTTCCCCATTCTCCGTGAAGTTGTTTTAGTTGTAGGAGCCAGTGTTGGGACTCTGGGCCAGTGGGACTTTGTCCTCATGTCCTCACTGTCCTAAAGACCTGAGCTCAGGGCTTCCTCAGTGACCGTCACAGGTGAGGAGGAAGCCCAGTGCGGCCATACAGCTAGTGACCAGGTAGTTTTCCTAACTTGTTAAGGGACCTTCTGAACTGTCCTGGATGCTTCCCTCTGCAGTGGAGCCCACACCCGCTCATTCTCAGACCACACCGACGCCTCAACCCAGCTCCCTAGCACCCTTGTGCCTGACGTTGCAGGAGAAGCTGCTGGCATTTGAGCGCAACCGCGTGACTGTCCCAGAAGCCCATGTGGCTTTGGTGAAACAGCTGGCTGGAGACATTGCCTTGGAGCTGCAGGCCTACTTGAGGAGCAAGTTCCCAGAACTGCCCTTTGGTGCGCTGGTGCCAGGCGGGCCTCTCTACGATGGGCTACAGGCAGGGGCTGCTGAGCGTGTGCGCCTGCTAGCACCCCTGGAGTTAGAACCAGGGCTGTGGAGCCTGGTACCTGGCATGGACACTGTGGCCAGGGAACCTCGATGCTGGGCTGTGCGCAGGACCCAGCTTGAGTTCCATCCCCGTGGGCGCAGCCCATGGGACCGCTTCCTGGTCGGGGGTTATCTTTCCTCCCGTGTCTTGTTGGAGCTGCTACGGAAGGCCCTGGCAGCCTCCGTCAACTGGCCAGCCATTGGTAGCCTACTTGGATGTCTGATCCGGCCCAATGTGGCTTCTGAGGAGCTGCTGCTGGACGTGCAACATGAGTATCTGGAGTTCACTTTAGCTGTGCTCGTGGTGGTCCCTGGGGCCAGCACTGATGGTCGTCTTCTGCTGGCTTGGCCCCTGGAGGGGCTGGCTGCCAATCTCTGGCTGCAGGATCTATATCCTGTAGAGGCTGCCTGTTTGCGGGCCCTGGATGACCAGGATGCTGGCGCTCGCCGGAGGTTGTTGCTGCTGCTATGTGGTGTGTGTCGTGGCCATCCGGCTCTGGTGCGACTGGGCTGGAGCCACCTGACCCAGGTGGTTCTGCATCTGGGTAAAGAGGAAGTAGCCTGGACTGAGGAGGCTTTGGGGGATCGCTTTCTGCAAGCCCTGGAGTTTCTGGTGGGCAGCTTGGAGCAGGCTAACCTGCCCTGTCACTTCAACCCCAGCGTGAACCTCTTGGACAGTTTTCGGGAAGAGGAGATTGATGACATTGGCTATGTACTGTACAGTGGTCTGCAGGTCCCTGAGAGCCTACTCTAGGTAGATGAGGCCCATCATTGACTTGTTCTTCTGATGCTGGAGAGCAGCAGCTACCTCCCTCCAGGGACACTGCAGAGTGTGGTTTGCTTTATTTTAGCCAGAGGGGAGGGGAGGATGCATTACCTAAGCCTGTGGGTAGGTATGTGCCTGGGTGATGGTGACCAGGATTCCCAAATCCAGAGAGTCTGGGTTCATGTTACCTAATGTGACTAGCCTGTCCTGGCTTTTAGTGCCAGCCGCACTGATGCCCCTTGGCCCTCTGGGGTTATCTTAGGATATTGGGCTTAGTCTATCATCACCAGCAATGAACTTCCCAAGAATGGGACATGGCTTTTGATTTCCTAGGCTTCACCTACATTTTGCCAAGAAGGACACTTAATGTTCTTGGTTGGGTAAGAGCCCCAGGTATCCTGGAGGCACACACAGTTGGTCACTGAGTATCATGTTTGTTACTCTCTGGGGCAGGAATTATCTGGCACCCTGGAAGGTAGCTTCTTAGCTGTTGAAGGATGGCGTTCTCCTGCCGGTCATGCATTTGTTTCTCTGGTTGAGTCCTTGGGCATTGAAATGGAAGTGGTCTTCCTTGCTGCCTGCCTGCCTGCCTGCCTGCCTTATACCCTAGGGAAGAAAGGTCTTGTTTCCTCTTGCTAGGTGGGTTTTTCTGTAGGTCTCAAATTACCTCTGGGAGAGCCCCTTCCTATTTGGGGGCTGAGCTCTGTGCTGCCTGTGCAAGACTATCTCATAGTGGCTGCTCCTGGGCCTCACTGCAGGGTAGAGGATGTGCCCCTCCCAGAGGCCTGCGTGCAGCCATGGCCTATGCAGCGTGCCAAAATATTCATGATAAATGTCTGTGCCCTCACCTGGAACCCTGATTAAGGTGGCATAGCTGGAGGAGGGATATTACCTCCCCGGGCCAGGGGCCCTTTCTATTTTTAGGTATCCCCCACCACACACACACACACACACTGAAACAATGCTATGCCTTGAAGAGTGAATAAAAGAAGGATCATTTTTATACCTGTGTGATTCTTGCTGACAGAAAATGGTCTTAATACCTTCACAGGTGGCTGCTTGGAGCTTCACAAGTCTTGTAGCTGGCTTGATGTGGAGGCTTGAGGTCATCATGGAGATGGTCAGATTCCATTTTCAAAAGTCCTTTCAGGGCCGGGCGGTGGTGGCTCACGCTTTTAATCCCAGCACTCGGGAGGCAGAGGCAGGTGGATCTCTGTGAGTTCGAGACTAGCCTGGTCTACAAGAGCTAGTTCCAGGACAGGAACCAAAACCAAAGAGAAACTCTGTCTCGAAAAACAAAAAATAACAACAAAAAACAAAAGTCCTTTCAGGAGCTAGGCAGTGGTGGTACACACCTTTAATGCCAGCACTCAGGAGGCAGAGGGGGAAAAAGTACACGGCCTCCTCTGGAAAGTATGAAGGAAGAAAGTGTCTCAATCTGCCATCTTCAAGGGACAAGCCACAGCAGGGAAGAACTGGGACAAGAGGGTGCTGAGCTGGGTGGAGTCCCAGGAAGAAGCTCCCGTGGCCTTCACTGGCTCTTGCTGGCATACCTAGACCACACACCATCAGAAAAAGTGGATGAAGTATTTTATTAAGGCACATGAGCAATGAGTGTCCTAGATGGAGCAGGAACGGTAGCTTCTGCAGATACATTAGGAGAGCTCCTTCTCAGACAGCTGCGCAGAGCCTGTGTTGGCTGGAAGCACTACCCACTTCTCACTTGGCAGACAACAGCCACAGTCAGGGCCCGGATGTCAACAAGGTCAGTTTCTGCTTACACAATGACTGACCATCTTCTCACGTTTCAGCAGTGCAGCAGCTGGAGTCACTCCTGAGCAGAGCTGGATGGACTCCTCAACAAAGGAAGGTCAGCCCCCAAACCCAGCACATCCCTAGGTTTTCAGACACCGAATGGCCACCTGGTCCCAGTTAGCTCATTTCCTGGTCTAGGCAACGTCCTCTACCTTGCCTGCCCTCATCTGTTCTGAGGACAAAAAGGGCGGGTGTGTCCAGGCTGGTGGCAAAGGCTACATTTCCGGGGCTTTTTTGCTGTAGATACTGCATCTGAGGAACCAGCTCTTAGTCTTTTGCTTGCAGCCTCTGGTCTCTGGGATTTTCCTCTGCCTCCTGGCCATGGTGGGGCTGTAAAGTTCACTGTGGGAGGAGACAGGAAAAAGCTGAATTCACAAATGATACCCTCAGGTAGCAAGAACAGACTCACTCCAAGTTGTGGTGGTGTAGACCTGTAATCCTAGTACCTGAGAGGCAGAGGCAGCTCAAGGGTGGCTTGGCCTACATAAGCCCGTCTCTGAAACAAAACCCAAACCAAGGGACAGTTCAGGGCAGAGGTGGCGTCCCTCTAACAAGTCAGCTGAACCCATGTGTTAGACTCCCTTTGCTCTGTGAAGGTCAGCTCCATGTCAAGAATATGGTATATCCTACCCTGTTACCTCCTTTCTTTTTCTTTTTTAATTATTTTACTTTACCCATCTTTAATCCCAGCATTCAGGAGGCAGAGGTAGGAGGATCTCTGTGCTATGAGTTCAAGACCAGCCTGGTCTACAAAGTGAGTTCCAGGACAGCCAAGGCTGTTACATCAAGAAACCCTGTCTCAAAGAAAAAGAACAAAACAAAAAAAAAAAAAAAGATCCTCCCAGGTTTTTATATATATATACACAGCCTATGTGTGTGTGTATATATAAACTTATATGAGTACAGGTACCTGCAGAAGGGTACACTGGATTCCCTGGAGCTGAAGTTCCAGGTGGTTGGCTGCGAGCCACCGGATATGGGTGCTAGAACTGAACTCAGGTCTTCTGGAAGAACAGCAAGTGTTTCTAACCACTGAACCAACTTTCTAGCCCAGCTTTCTTATTCTAAAGAAACAGAAGCTCTCAGAGATACTGTCCCGAGAGGAGGCAGTGGTGTAATTTTCTATACACCCTTACTATGTCAGGAGCAGATGGGGAGCCTGTGGTCACCAGCCAGCTCCCCACTCCCTGAGCACCTTGCCTGCAAGGAAACTTCTAGCCTATAAATAAGCCTCAGTGCTGGCTGCTCTGTCACTGGAGACATCTGGTTGTCTGGCTTGGAGGTCATATGTCACTTCTGGTGGCTCCAGAAAGACTCAAGTGTGTACAAGGCTAAGGGCTCTGTAGTTATTTAAATATGGGCACAGCAGAGGATGCACTGAGTGGGGGCCTGAAGTCCGGTGCTCTTTACCAGCCCTTCTGAGCACTTCTTGCATCTGGTGGCCAGCATACATAAATCATCGGAAGTCAGGCATGGTGGCACATGCCTGCTATTCTGGTACTGAGGAGGCTAGGAAAGGTTTGCAAGATTGAGGCCAGCATGGGCTACATATATAACCTGTCTCAAAATGTGTACCCCAGCCACAAATAAATGAAAAAAATGGAAGATCATAGTCTGAGACTAACAGGAGTCCTATGGAAATTAGTGATACTATCTATTGCTGAGGGGACTAAGGCTGACAGGCAGCTATGTGGAGGTAAACACCTGGGATCGGAAAGATCTGCTTAACTGCAAAGTTGCTGCTTAGCCTTGGTTTACTGCTATGCATTGCAGTGGCAAGGACACATCTGATCCAACAATGTCTGGATGCTGGTCCTTTAGCAATCATTCCCAAGACACTAGTTAGGCTGTGTAGCTCTGGACAGGTTTCTACAAACTACCACAGTCAGGGTGCCACCAGGGTGTGGCTGACATCAATGACCTAGCAAGGATGACAGTCTGCAGGGGAGGAAGACGCTTATCTTACCTTGGGCCTTGTCACTGTGACACCAAATACAGACTTCACTGACTTGCACCTCACCTCATTTGGAAAGCTGTGATCTAATGCAGATGAAAGATGCCTGCCTTAGAAGGGGTATTTATCACAGTGCTGGGCACAGTAGCTACTCTTTAATGTGAACACGAGATCCTATGGTTCCTACCTCGCTGAACAATGAGAACACTGAGTCAAAGTAATGGCCCTGCTGATTCTGCACTAGACTCATTTGCCTTCCCTCCTCTGGTCTCTGCAGTGGTAGCTACTGTGAGAACCTACATAGGGACCTGCTGCCCTGCTCCCTCACCTGGGGCCAAGTTCTCATCTACCCACTGAAAGAAGCCACACTGCTGCTCTCGTGGCTTGGCACAGGTGTGGAACTGACGTCCTTTGTTGGGTCCATCCTTCTGCACAGTCCGTGTGACAACAGGCTGCCCGCACAGGCAGGATGTACTTCCATCACTGTCACTGCCAAGGCTGCCAAACCCATCCATGTTGCTGTCTGAGGCTGACGGCCATCCCACAGAGTTGCCGGGGAGTCTTGATGCAGAGGTGGGGGGTCCTCCTCCAGTGGGATGGCTGTTGTCAGCCCACAGGAAGAAGTTGCAACCACCACCACTGCACTTATAGAACTGCCGGCCCTGGTTGGGGCCCTGCTTGCGGACAGTGAGCAGCACAGCCTCTTGGCCACAATTGCAGGTCACAGAGTTGCTTTCACCAGCAGCAGTGGGTGGTAGGAAGGTTTGAGCCATTGCCTTTGAAGGTCCAGTATGTCTGTTGACCAGAGGTTGAGAGAGAGTATGCTGACTGCTGTCCATCCTGTTGGTAACCTGGCTGGCCTGCAGGTGGCCAGAGGGCTGGGTAGCTCTTGTTGGGGCCCGTGAAAATCGCAGGTTGAAGATTTCCTTCAATGTCTCATCACATCCACCTATGCAGCCAACAAACTCCAGGGGCATGGTTGGGGGAAGGCTACCACGCTTAAACTTCAGTTTTAACCTAGTGAGGCCAAGATGAGAAAAGATATGAATTTTTGCCCTGGTGCATGGTCAATCACAGCCTCTCTGCATACCCCAGGAAGCCCATTCAGAATACAAACGAACTCTCAGATGTAACACACCACCCAAATATAGGCACCTCCACAAAGTTCGACTTCTCTACACCACTGACCCCTCAGGGATCTGGGCTCTTTCAAGGTAAGGACGTCAAGACAGGAAGAATGCATCTAGTCTACTTTCATGTTTTCATGTGTGCACAATACAGACTTTTCTGGAAATAATGAACCATGATGGTTCAGTGGAGTACAGGGACAGAGATGGACACAAATCCAGTCTTGCCTAAATGAAAAGCAGTATTATTCCCTTCAGTAGTGCTGTGTATCTACCTTGGAAAGTAAGTATTTTATCCTACACATCATTTTCAAATGTTAGTAAGAAATGCATGTGCGACTGGGCGATGGTGGCGCACGCCTTTAATCCCAGCACTGGGAGGCAGAGGCAGGCGGATCTCTGTGAGTTTGAGGCCAGCCTGGTCTACAAGAGTTAATTCCAGGACAGGCTCTAAAGCTACAGAGAAACCCTGTCTCAAAAACCCCCAAAATAAAACAAAAGGAATGCATGTGTGAAGCTGGGCATGGTGGCACATGTCTTTAATCCCAGCACTCGGCAGGCAAAGGCAGGTGGGTCTTGTGACTTTCCCAGAGCACAGCTGAACTAGACCAGTCAGCTGCTGGGGCTGCTGCTCAGACTGCAAGCTGAGAACAGTATTCCCTAGGGCAGTGGTTCTCAACCTTCCTAATGCTGAGGCCCTTTAACACAGTTCCTCAAGTTGTGGTGACCCCCAACCCTAAAATTATTTTCATTGCTACTTCATATATTTAATTTGGCTACTGTTATGAATTGTGATGTAAGTATTTTTGGAGACAGCGGTGTGTCAAGGGGGTCGTGACCCACAGGTGGAAAACCACTGCCCTAGACACTCCTGCCTGGGTTCCAGTGAGAGGACAGGAAAGAGTTCTGCAGCGCCTGCCCCAAAGACACCCAGCTCACCTGTACACAGGGGATGGCTGACAAATGGGACACACACTGCTGTCCCTACTGGCCTCCAGCACCGAGTCAGGAAACCACACAGCTGACCGACATTCTGGGAACCCTGTGCAGCTAAGGTAGAACCTGGAGAGCAGAGCGGACAGGTCAGATCCAGGAATTTGGAAGGCACACTGCTTACACCCATCTGCCAGGAAGATCCGTCTTTCATTTTCATAGTTTTCTGAGACAGGATCTCACTGTGTAGCCCTGGCTGGCCTACAACTTGCAATGTAGATCAAGTTAGACTGATCATAGAGATATACACATCTCTGCCTCCTGAGTGCTGGGATTAAAGGTGTGTTCCATCATATCCTACCCTAAGAAAACCCCTCTTGTATGCTTCTCATGTCCCTAAAAGAATGCAGCTATAGCCAGGCAGTGGTGGCACACACCTTTAATCCTAGCCCTTGGGAGGCAGAGGCAAGTTGATCTCTGTGAATTAGAGGCCAGCCTGGTTGTGGTGGTATGAAAGAAAATGGCCCCCAAAGGGAATGGTCCTATTAGGAGGTGTGACCTTGTTGGAGGAAGTGTGTCACTGTGGGGGTGGGCTTTGAGGTCTCTTCTGTTCAAGCGTCCCTCAGTGTGACTGTCAGTCAACTTCCTGTTGCCTGCAAGATGTAGGTCTCTCAGCTATTCCTCTAGCACCATGTCTGGCTGCATGCAGCCATGCTCCCTGACATAATAATGGACTGGAGCTCTGGAACTGTACGTGAGCCCCCTCAAGTACATGTTCCATTTATAAGAGTTGCCATGGTCATGGTGTCTTTTCACAGCAAAAGAAAACTCCAAGACACTGGTCAACAGAGCAAGTTCCAGGACAGCCAAGGCTACATAAAGAAACCCTCGGGAGGTGGGGAGATATGCAGCTATTGCTGAATCTACTTAGACCTACACCACCAGTGACTAGGTTGGTATTTTCTCTAGTAAATAACCCTAGCACCTGGGAAGCTGATGAAGATTTAGCAAATGTGAGGCAGGCCTAGGCTACATACTGAGTTTCAGGTTTACCCATGCTTACCTAGTGAATGAGACCCTGTTTCAAAAACAAAACAAAACACTACTGACTAAGGTAAAGCCATGTACAAAGTGCCCTGTGCATACTTCCATAGTACTGTGTTTTGTCTTACCTCTTTAAAAATTGCCACTCTTGGGGCTGAAGAGATGGCTCAGTGGTTAAGAGCACTGATTGCTCATCCAGAGGACCTGGGTTCAATTCCAAGAACCCACATGACAGCTAACGACTGTCTGTAACTCCAAGATCTGACACTCTCACGGACAAACATACAGGTAAAACACCAATGCACATAAAATAAAAATAAATAATTTTTAAAAATTAAAAAAAAAATGCCCCTCTTAGGTGGATCTCTGTGAGTTCAAGGCCGGCCTGGTCTACAAAGTGAGGTCCAGGACAGCCAGGGCTACACAGAGAAACCCTGTATCAATAAACAAAAACAAAACAACCAAAAAACTTTGCCACTCTTAGCCCAGTGTGGTAATATATGCACATATTCCAGGCACTTGGTGCGGGGGAGAATTTAGAGATCAAGTTTAGCTTAGGCTACATAACAAGACCCTGGCTGAAAGACAAAACAAACAAAACAGAAACCCATTTTGGGTTGGGGTAGCAAGTAGGAAGCTGCCAAATATGAGACCCTGGGTGCTACTCCTACACTTCAAATAACAAAAATGAAAATAGACAAAACAACAACAACAAAAATCTCTGGGGCTAGAAAGATTGAGCCATGGTTAAGAATACTACCCATTCTTGCAGAGGGCCCAGGTTTGGCTCCTAGCACTCAAACTGGACAGCTCACAACCACCTGAAACTCCAGTTCTGGAGATTCAAACTCTCTTCTGGATCCTGCAGGCATCTGCATCCTTGTGGTGCACATACATAAAATAAAAACAACAGCTAAAAAACAAAAAAATCCAAAAAACCCCAAAAAACCCACCCTTAACGCAGCATTGTGAAGTAGACACACACCTTGTGCAGGGGGTGTAGGGGTGTGAGAGGTGTTGGCAGCAGGAGTGGGTTATCTTATTTCATGTGCCTGTTGCCCACAGAGGTTGGAAGAGGGCATCAGATTCCTTGGAACTAGAGCTATGGATGTTGTGAGATGCCTGCAGGTGCCAGGAACCAAACCTGGGTCCTTTGCAAGAGCATCCAGTGGTTGTAACTGCTGAGTCATCACTCCACCTGCCTCCTTTTAATGGAATATAAATTCCTAAAGCACTCGGCACCACGATGGTTCCTTTACCCTCACAGTTCTATCATCTGGCCCAGTGTCTGCCAACAACAGGCCTGCCTCTAAAGAATGACGGACTGACAGGGCCTTTGAGAGCTGGTGGTTAGCCCAGCGAACACTGGGTGAAGAGAGGTAAGAGGGAGCCAGGTACTAACCCACCACTCTTCTTGGTCTTCAGGACCATATCCTTGTTGCACTGAGGACACTTTCGAACAGGCTCTGGCATGGCTGGGTAGAGCTCTTCTTGCTGAGCCACCTCTGTCCCTTCTCCTAAGTATTGAGACAAAGCTTCATCCAATCTGGAGAAAAAGCAGATACACAAGCCAGTTTCCCAAAAAAGGCCTTTATTGCACTCTTAGGCATCCATAATACACAGGAGACTAGAAACAGTTGGTCAGGGAGCCATAGGCCAATGTAGAAAACAGAGAGCAGAGAGGAGATGGAGCTGTCCATCCTACTGCCCCTGGATCCAGGTTCCTAGCATGATGCCAGCTCTAGGCAGATACAAATCGTACAAATTTAGCAATGTCCATCTATATTCCTGCCAAAGGGTAGTCTCAAGGATTAAAAACTGGGAGCTGGGCAATGGTGGTGCATACCTTTAACCCCAGCACTAGGGAGGTAGAGACAGGCAGACCTCAGTGAGTTCGAGACCAGCCTGGTCTACAGAGTGAGTTTCAGGACAGGCAGGACTACACAGAGAAACCCTGTCTCAAAACAATCACACAAACAAACAACAACAACAACAAAAACACAACTGGGGCTTGCACAAAGGATCAGTGAGTAAACATGCAAGCCTGACACTGACAACCCGAGTGTGATCCCTGCAACAACACAGTATAAGAAGAGAACTGTCTTCTCAGAACTGTCCTCTGATCTGCTTACACTTGCCTTGGCATGTATACAGTCGCATAGCACACACACACATACACTCACATGTGCACGCATGCACACTCGCACTTACATGCATAAACATACAGAGATTTAAGAAAAAAAGAAAGAAAAAGCTAGGTGGTGGTGGTGCACACTTTTAATCCCAGCACTTTGGAGGGAGAGGCAGGTAGATCTCTGTGAGTTCAAGACCAGCCTGGTCTACAAAAGCTAGTTCCAGGACAGCTAAAACTGTTACACAGAAAAAAACCTATCTTGAAAAACCAAAAAAGAAAAAGCCCCAAACTGCCATTCATATAACAGCCATATAGAATATCGTCCCTACACACCAAGCAGTTGTCCAGTGGATACTGGCTGGATATCCTAATCCAAATCAGTCCTGCAATACCTGGGGTGAGTCAGACCCCAAAGGATGAGAGCTCAGTGACCAACACTGCTCCTCTTTCAGACACTAGCTACAAATTTCAGGGTGTGACCGTAAAGGGGGCTTCCCATGGTCTGAGTCACTGGGTGGCTAACATAACTCGGGACAGCCGGACAGCTGAGATGCAAAGGATGAAGTACACAAGCAAGACCATTGCTGTGCTTCGCCTGGGTGCATTATTTTCACGTACTGCATGTACTGAGCTATCTGAAAGCACAGGACACACTCGTTATGATGTCGCCAACACTCAAACACCGCTGGTGAACCATGGCCACTGGTGACCAACCTTCAGTCTCACCCTGGAGCTGCTGGAAGAACTAGCCTCCTAGCCTTATGGAAACTGCCCTGGGAACTTAATCCTCGCTTGTGACTCAACAGGTGTTTTCCATCAGCCAGGTGACTGGCAAGTGAATGGCAAACAAATACATTATCACTCTAGAGTCCAAATGTGCCAGAAGATTAAACTAAAAATGTTTCATGCTGGTGAATCATAGCATCAGGGCTAGAAAAAATATTATTTTTCCTTTTTATTTTTTTGAGACCGCGTATTATTTTGTATTCCTGGATCTCCTCGAACTCAGAACAATCTTCCTGCCTCAACCACTCAAGTGATAAGATGACACACAGAAGTCACCATGCTTGACTCGAAAACATCCTTTCTAACAAAACACATACTCTGTTCACTAGCTGGCCACCTCCGAATGCTCCAGAGAAAGGGTGGATTCCACACTAGAACCTGGTTAACTGGTTTAAAGGACAGCTGCCTAACTCAAGCTAGAATAAAAAGCAGAGAATGGCACTGCTGAAACTCAGCACTATTGGAGACAGTTTCCCTAAAAAGACGTGAACTGAGCTCAGAGGGGAAAATCCAAGGACCGCACCTGTGTTGTAGCTAGCCCCTCCCACAGGGCAACTGGTAGATATGAGCCAGGAGGGCCTGTATCACCCCACTCTGTTGAATCTCCTCAGGACTCCCAGTCCTCTCTGGGAAGTGCTATGGCATGGCTGGGAGCTACAGGACCACTTGGACAGGGGAGCAGGGTCTGACACTCACTTCTTTGCCTTAGCCACTGCTTCAATGAAAACCTGCTTGTATTTCTGCACTTGCTGCCTTAGAACCTGAAACTTATCCTTCTTGCCCTCGCAGATCAGCTTAAGATCAGCTTCCAGCTCGGCACGGAGGTCAGGCTTGGACATCTCATAGCCCATGGAATCGTAACCTGCAGAGAAAGAGCAAAGCTGTGAGGTTCTAAATGACACCACCAGGGACTTGGACACCTTGCCCTCTCCCTTGTCCACTGCAACCTCCCTCCTGCTTTACCTTCCACAAGTCCCATGCCCAGGTGCCCAGGGAGGAACCGCTTGTCTGAGGTGAGTCCCACATACATCCGGGCTTTGATGGTTTCAATGTGTTCTGCATGAGTTGCATCAGTACCTAGAAACCATTTCCTTCTTATCATCATCATCATCATCATCATCATCATCATCATCATCATCATCATCATCATCGTCCTCACTGACAGGGTCTAGTATAGTCCCAGCCGGCCTGAAACTTGTTGTGCAGTCAAGGCTGGCCTTCAACTATGAATCCTCCTCTGCATCCCAACTGCTGGAACTGCAGATGTTTGCCACCATGTCCATTTCATATCTCCATTATTCTGAGGTGCCATAGATAGCAGCACCAGCAGAGCCTGTGGGTACCTCATTTATCTCTTTTGCCTGGGCAGCTTTTACAGATAAGATCTGTATTCACGCCTGACTTATGCTAGCAATCTCAGAGACTACCTGGACTCTCCTCCCTCCTAACACTTGAGGCCCATCAGAATTGTCAATCCCAGTCTCACAACTTCTCACTTAAATTCTCCTCCTCTGCGGTGTCAGACTGTGGCTGAGTAGCCTCATTTTCATGTGTGACACCTGCCCTTCTCTAAAATCACCCATTGTCCCCCTCTAGCCAAGCTATTTAAACTGTGCTCTGAGGGACCTTTTAAATGGAGCCGTGCTGACAGGAGATACAAACTAAAATCTCAGTGAAATGTAAAACCACACTTGGCTTATTTTAACTTTAAGTCTCTGACTGAGTATGCATAATGTGGGTGCAAGTGCCTATGAAGGGACATCAGATCCCCTGGAGCTGGAGGTATGGGCAGTCATGAACCACCTGACTTGAGAATTAGGAACTTAAATCCTTTGCAAGAACAGGATGCTCTCTTCACTGCTGAGCCCTCCTTCCAGCCACCGTATTGTACTTTTCTACAAGGATAGCCTTGAACTCCTGATCTTCCTTCGCCCTCCCAAGTGCTGGGAGTATAGGCCCATGCTACTCCTTTTTAACTTTGAAACACGGACTTTCGAAATTGTCTAGCCCTGGAACGGGCAATCTTGCTGTCTCAGTTCTTGTCTTAGCTCAAGTTATTTGTTTGTTTGTTTTGTTTTGCAAGACAGGGTTTCTCTATGTAGCCCTAGTTAACCTGGAACTCACTCTGTAGACCAGGTTGGCCTTTAACTCAGAGATCCACCGACCTCTGCCTCCCAAATACTGGGGTTAAAAGCATGTGCCACCACCACCCAGCTGAGTTATTTGTTTTTAATCAAAATGAACAACCAATCCAAAGGACATGAGGTACCCTCAACTGACTCGAGTCATAATAAACACCTGTATCATCACACACATGGAAAGACTGGAGTCCCCTGGGCTCAATGTTAGAGTACTTGCCTAGTGTGCACAAGACTTTGCGTTCTATGCCTAGCACTATAAAAACAAATTTAAAAAGCACATTAACCCTGGACTTATTTGTAGCAGACTAACAATATACAGATTGCTGAGGTTAGCTAAGTTCTTAACCTTTGCCGGTTTAACTTCACTGGTTTTCTTTTTGAGTTGGGGTTTGGAGTGGAATCAGGGCTTCATATATGGTAGGAAGATGGTTTGCCACTTAACTACACTCCAGCCCTTCACTTAACCTATAGAATAGGGATAGGAATATAATGCCGTCCCTGAGAGGAGGTCATGCCTGGCCTACAAATAGGCAAGAGCCTTGAGCTCCCCACACAAGATACTGACCGATACCATGCTTCTCCATGAGGGCAATGAGGTCAGCCTCGGTAAGCAGCTGGGGTGGGCTGGTCTCCCCATCCACCATTTCCACAGTGCTGGGCTGAAAGCGGAAGCCTTGCTCATAGACAGGGAGGAGCTACAGGAGGAGCAGGTGTGGAGTTCAGACCATTTTGTCATCATCCCAGGTTAGCCCTGCTCCTTCAGGCAGCACAGCTGGAGCACACCTGCTGCCCTCTCCCTGGGTGGGCCCACCTCCTTATCACCTTGTCACTCCAGTGATCATATGGATACACATCCAGGTAGTTACGGGCCAGAATTACGAGGCCGTGGGCTACAAAGCGTTCCTGGGCAATGTCAATCTCTACAGTAGTCTCTTGCCCCTGAGCATCCTGGGAGCAGCAAGCCAGGAAATGGCGAACGATGAATTCATATAGTCGCCGTTCATCTCCCTGAAGAAAAGAAAGAATGTGAGACTCCTTTCAGAACAGCATGTCTCAAGGAGCACAGTGCTACTGAGTTTCAGCTTAGTTTATGCCATTGCAATCTAGAAGTCTGCACAAAATAGAACACAAGGCTCCTCAAGCCTGCAATACTGTGAGTCCTTGGGAAGCTAAACTCTTGTACTTTTTATTTTGTTTTTATTTTTTTTTTTTTTGGCGATAGTGTCTCCTTATGGAGCTTTTCTTGGCCTAGAACTCACAGAAATCTGCTTGCCTCTGCCTCAAAGGTGTAAGCCACAAGGAAAAATTCACAACCAGGCAAAGATAAGCAACTCTCATTCTTTTTTTTTTCTCTGAGACAAGGGTTTCTGTAGCTTTGGGGCCTATTCTGTATCCTGGAATTAGCTCTGTAGACCAGGCTGGTCTCAAACTTACAGAGTTCCGCCTGTCTCTGCCTACTGGGTGCTGGGATTAAAGGCATGTGCCACTACTGCCTGATGCAACACATTCTTTGATATGAGCCGCACAGGAGGTGAAAGTACAGGCAGCACTGGACACAACGGCTACCTGCATGCGTGCACTCAAGCAGTGATTTGTTGGGGGTAACATTTCATCAGTCAGGTAAGCAGGATTTAGTAAGGCTCCCCATACTAAAAAAGCCCAGGAGACACTCATACACATATCTAACAATCCCAACCCACCTTCCCCCTCCTTTTTTTTTTTTTTGAGACAGGGTTTCTCTGTGTAGCCCTGGGTATCCTGGAAGTCATACTCTGCAGAGATCCACTGCCTTTGCCTCCCAAGAGCTGGGATCAAAGGTGAGTACCATCACCACCCAGCCACAATTCCCCTCTTAAGGATTCATTTACCCCTTTCATCTCCCCAGCCAAAATGTTATTGTTTATAAACAGTAAACACATAATGTACATATAAATACATAGCTATAGCCGGGCAGTGGTGGCGCACGCCTTTAATCCCAGCACTCGGGAGGCAGAGGCAGGCGGATCTCTGTGAGTTCGAGACCAGCCTGGTCTACAAGAGCTAGTTCCAGGACAGGCTCCGAAACCACAGAGAAACCCTGTCTCGAAAAAACCAAAATAAATAAATAAATGAATAAATAAATAAATAAATAAATACGTACATACATACATACATAGCTATTTGTGTAGATCTCCAGTTACTTCCTCTGAGTGAATTCTGTGCTGTGGCATGTGTGCCCTTCCCGACAACATATAGAATGTAATGAAAACTAAGGCCAGGCATGGTGGCACACACTTTTAATCCCAGCACTTGGGTAGTAGAGATAGATGGATCTCTGAGTTTGAGGCCAGCCTGGTCTACAAAGTGAGACCTTATCTTTTTTTTTTGTTTTGTTTTTTTGTTTTTCAAGACAGGGTTTCTCTGTGGTTTTGGAGAGACCTTATCTTAATACAAAGGTTGAGACAATTTAAAACAAAAACAGAGTCAATCATGGCTTCCTTCACCCCCTCTTGAAATGAGAGACATTTTGGTATCACTGTTCCAGAGCCCAGAGCCAAAGTCCAGTCTTATTCCTCACCCTGTACCTGTGCTGTGCTCCAGCGGGACTTACACTCAGAAACTCACCTGCAGGCCGCTGGTATATTTGGTGGGGTGAATGGGGGGGTGAGCTTGATCAGATTTGTTCCCATTTCGTGGAGTGGGGCCACCTCGCTCTAGAATGTTCTGAGCAAATGCCCCCCAGTGTGGATCCTGGGTCTGCTGTTGCACCAACGCAGCCAGGTTTAAGTCTTTAGGGAAGATGTTTGTTTCTGTTCGTGGGTAGCTGATATACCTAAGAGAAAGGTACACCAAAGAACACTGTTAGGCCTTTCCATTGGTTCGTAACCACTGGAAGTTGTAGTCTTCTGACACTGCCGATGTGACTGTAAACTACCTAAGCTGGTAGCTGGAGATAGGGCCCCTTACTGGGTGAAAAGCAGAAGGTTTTCCTGTTAGGTCATTCTGGAAACCTACAGACAAGAAAGCAGAAGGATAATGTAGGATAAAGGTCTTTGACTCTCAGTTCCTTGACGCCAGGGACACACCACTGGCCCCTCTTAACAGTCTGACAGAGGACGCTCTGTGTGCTGTGAGCCTCAATGGATTTGACTGTTCCGACAGCATTTTCTTCTAAAACTGTTTGTTTGTTTGTTTTTTGAGACAGGGTTTATCTGTAGCTTTAGAGCCTGTCCTAGAACTAGCTCTTATAGACCAGACTGGCCTCAAACTCACAGAGATCCGCCTGCCTCTGCCTCCCGAGTGCTGGGATTAAAGGTGTGCACCACCACTGCCCGGCCTTCTATAACTTTTTTTTTAAATTTATTTATTTGTTATATATACAACATTCCTTCCATGTGTGCTTGCAGGCCAGAAGAGGGCATCAGATCTCATTTCAGATGGCTGTGAGCCACCATGTGGTTGCTGGGAATTGAACTCTGGAAGAGCAGCCAGTGCTCTTAACCGCTGAGCCATCTCTCCAGCCCCTTCTATAACTTTTTTAAAATTAACTTTATTAGTTTACTTATGTGTTTTATTTATATATACACATCACTATGTGTATGCACCATCACTGTGCCTAGGCTTCCAGAGGCCAGCATTGGATCCCTGGACTTGGAGTAAGAGATAGTTGTAAGCTACCATGGGAATCGAACATAGGCCCTCTGTAAGAGCAGCAAGTGCTCTTAACCACTCAGGCATCTCCCCAGCTCCTGAATAGCTTTTCTTTTTTAAAAGTTTTTTTTTAAGGTTTATTTATTTTATGTTTTGTCTGCCAGTATGTATATGTAACAGATACATGTCTGGAGCCCTTGGAGGTCAGATGAAGGAGTCAGATCCTCTGGAACTGGAGTTACAGATAGTTTGAGCCACCAAGTGGGTGCTGGGAATTGAACCTGAGTTTTCTGTAAGAGCAGTCAGTGTTCTTAACCACCAAGCCACCTCTCCAGCCCCCTATTGCTTTTCTTATAGCAAATAAAGAATAGTTGCTCAGGTGTTGGAAAGATGTCTCCAGGTACTTCTTCCAGAAGACCTGGGTTCAATTCCCAGCACCCACAAGGAAGCTCACATCTGTCTGTAATTCCAATTCCAGGGAATCCAACTCCTACTTCTGGTCTCTTCTGGCACCAAGCACACATGGTGCACAGACAAAATATCCTTATGCATAAAATGAAAACAAACAAACAACAAAAGAGCAGTACAAGCCACCAGAACTGCTAACATGGCTCAGTGGTAGTGTCTAGCATTCTAGCATGCATGAGGGATGACCCAGACTTAGTCCTTAGTGCTAAAAAAGGAAAGAAATCTAATGTTTTATTTTCATAAAAACTTTAACATATACAATGTATTGTATCCTTACAGCACTCAATTTGGACAACCTACCCCTCATGTTCTCAAGCAGTGGTAAGTGGACAGTAGGGCAGTAAGGGCACTCAACTGCTAGGGCACTCACTGATCTCAGAGGTGGGAGGATTCTAATAGGATCCTAAAGGTGTTGCCTGCTGGCTGACACTTTCCAGGACTCAGGACAATTGCTGAGGGGTCAACAGTGGGATTTGGCATAATGATAGTATGCTTACCTACTGTGTGCAAGCCCTGGGATAAATCCCAAGCATGAAGGCAGGGGAGGGGCTGGTTTCAGATTGCTCTGTGAGCTTATACCTACCCTTGTGTGTAGAGTTTTTCTGCAATCCTCATGGTTTCTTTAGCATTTATTCTCAATTTCCGAGAAGCCAGCTTCTCCAGCTCCTGTCATCAGAGACAGGATGAAGTTTGTGAGTCAGAGCACAACACAAGCACCTAATTCATCTTCAGGCAGGTCTGGCCCTGTCACTTCAGCTACAGCCATCATGCCAAGAGGGGAAGACTGTCCAAGGGAAGATTTCTGGATTTAGCTGGCCAGACAGATCACAACTAGTTAGGGGTTTTGTTTGTTTAAAATGTACTTTTAACAAGAACAACAACAAAACCAACCAACTAAACACCAAAGAAGAAAACCCAAATAAGAGCATGGTGGTTCGTGGGTTGCAGACATGGGCAGATCTGTGTGAAATCTAGGTTAGCCTAGTCTATGTGAGTTCCAGACCAACCAGGGCTACATAGTAAAATTTGTTTAAAAGAACTACAAAACATAAATAAAAATATTTTTCTGTTTGGCTTGAAACAGTAAACCATAAAGTCCAGGCTATCCTTGAACTTGTGAGTCTCCTGCCTCTACCTCATAATGCTACAGTCACTGATCACTGGTATCCATCACATCTTCCTAAGGAAGCTATAATGTGCAGCTGACACTTGCCCAAGGAGTTGGCAGGTTTACAGCACCATGCCCAGATAGTGTGTATGTGTGGATTTTTTTTTCTTCCTTCCTTCCTCTTTTTTGGAGACAGGGTTTCTCTGTTTAGCCCAGGCTGTCCTGAAACTCACTCTGTAGACCAGGCTGGCTTAGAACTCACAGAAATCTGCCTGCCTCTGCCTCTCAAGTGCTAGGATTAAAGGCATAGGCCTAGCCCCAATTGGGATTTTTCTTTTCTTTTCTTTTTTTTTTTTTTTTATTTTTTTTATTTTTCGAGACAGGGTTTCTCTGTGGTTTTGGAGCCTGTCCTGGAACTAGCTCTTGTAGACCAGGCTGGTCTCGAACTCACAGAGATCCGCCTGCCTCTGCCTCCCGAGTGCTGGGATTAAAGGCGTGCGCCACCACCGCCTGGCGGATTTTTCTTTTTTTAAGACAAGAGCTTTGTATGTAGTGCAGGCTAGACTTAGCTATCATCAGCTTCCTTGATAGCTAGGATCACAGACAAGTGCTACCACTCCTAGCAGAAATCTTTTATTCTTTTTATACTTTTATTAAGTAGTCTGACAAGAGAATTAAGCTAATGAAGGCAATATGAGAGCCACACTTAAGAGACCATGACTCGAGTCTCAAAAATTCCCCCTAGACACTGAAAATACCCCCTGAGGCTTTCTAATACTGCAAGCTCCTCTTTTCTATTGACAGTCCGACAAAGGCTGGGCATGTGGTACAGGATTTGAGCCTCATACTCAGGAGACAGAGGAAGGCAGAGCTCTCAGTTTGAGGCCAGCCTGGTCTACAGAGTTTCAGGACAGTTAGGACCCCGTTAGAGATCCCATCTCAAAAAATAAAAACAAATAAAAACTTAAAAAAGGACCACTAAGACATCAAAATTATTTGACTATATAAATATTCATATATAAACATGAATGGCTTGCATTTCTCTTTTGGTTTTAAAATCTTATCATTGTATTAAGAGGCTGAGCTAACTCAGGTCTTCTGCGTGCTTTTCTGTATGGTCTTGAGATTTGAATGACATTCTTTCCTTCCACTGGACCATAGCCATGCAGAACGATAGCCCCAACAAAAGGAAGTAACTGTTCCTTAGTATCTAGAACATACATACCACAGTGTCCAAAGCTTGAGGCCTCCACTTGCTTTTTGGCTTAGACCTAACCTCTACCACGGTTGCCATGGGATCCTAGAAAATCAAGCACACAAAGCCCACATTAGCCTGGAGTAAACCACTTCAAGTCCCCATGATGTAGCCTTTCTCAAGGAGCCTTCCACGTAACATCACGCATTGAAACTGTGGGATGTTATCCTTCCTATTCAAGCCAAGACTTGGAAAGACATTTTCACAAGTTGTTAAGTGGTCTAGATCTCGTGAAATTCTGAAGTCTTTGATCTGAGACTTGACTTACATGCTCCCGGTTACTTTTTTTTCTTTTTTCTTTTTTTTACTTTTTAAATTAAGGATAATGGGGCTGCAGTCAGGGCACTTTCCTAGCATTCATGAGGCCTGGAGTTCCAACCTTAGCATTATATACCTTCATACTCGAGATATAAACAGTAGAAGTTATACAATAAAAACTGCAAAACTTTCAAAGACACTGTAAATGGACATGAATTTAAATGGTTCACTAAGAAGGAGTTTGTATATCACAATTCAAATTTCTCTTTACAAGAGAGTGGGGACCAGCTGCTCTTTCCAAGAAGCTCAAAGTCTGTCACTTGTCACTGAGTAGCCATTACAGCCTAACAGAACAGGTGTTTATGATATGTCTGTGTGTATTGAGGTAACCTGTGCCATAACCTGTGTGCCATGAGCATATGTGACGGTCAGAGGATAACTTGCAGGAGGTGGTTTCTTCCTTCCACTATGTGGATCCTAGGGATAGAAGTCAGTTGCTCAAATGTTACTCTCTTATCATCTGGAATAAACAGTCCCCACGCCACCCACAGGCCACCTTCTATTACTTTCTCTTGTATTTTTGTCCTGGCATTATTGTTTTCCAAAATTACCTATTTCATTTGTGACCTTTACTTCCTTGTGTGACCAATGGAAGGAGGTTAGAACAAATGTTTAAATTCCTTCCCAGATGCTGAGGTCCAGCTCTAAATGGGCTTAGATGACTTATCCTAATCTCAATTCAAAGTATGTATTTCAGAGGGGGATTTCAGCGAGCTACTTCTAAAATTTTTGTCTTGATCTAAAAATTCTACTTAAAAAATTTTGAGACTTGGTTTCATGTAGCCCAGGTTAAACTCAAACTCAACAGGGACTGAGCTGATCCTCCTGCTTCTACCATCCAAGGGCATACACCCTTATACCCAGCTCTCCTTGCTGTCAGATCAGGACCTACTGCTGCCTCACAAACTTAGGGCAAAGATCTTCCAAGTTCCTGCTGTGACTGTTAGCACACAGGCCTCAGGCTGGGTGTCTATGGGGAAGAATTCCCAGACTCCCCAGGGACCACCTGTGAATTACAACCCCACGTGTGTTACAGACCAGAAAAAAACAAAACAAAAAAACAGAACAAAATTTCTGATTCTGTAAGAAATCAGAAATTCCCCTTTGTCTCCAGAATTGAAGGCGTTCCTTTAAGACTCTGTCATGCTGCCATGGTATGTTCCTAAATTTCTTCTAATGGTCTCCTGTTTTAAGAGCATCATTATGGCTGACCATGGTCATAGCCTATAACTTTAATAAAGTTCATTTTAAGGTAATTTCATGTCAGCATCCATCTATGAAGCACCATCAGTTTCTTTATTATTTTTGTTTTGTTTTGTATTGTATTTCAAGACAGGGTTTCTCTGTGTAGCTTTGAAGCCTGTCCTAGAACACACTCTGTAGACCAGGCTAACCTCGAACTCAGAGATCTGTCTGCCTCTGCCTCCTGAGTGCTGGGATTAAAGGAATGCACCACCATCCTTTAATGCCTGGTACACCATCAATTTCTAACACTTGCACAACCCAGGGTCTCACTACTAAGACAATGCTGGCCTGAACTGCCGCAGCCTCCTAAAGGCTAGCATTACAAGCATGTCCCATCATGACTGGCCACTTCACACACTTTTAGTGCTGGCTTTCTAATCATGCTGGTTTCCAAAAAAGTGTTGTATGTATGTGTATACATGTAAACACAACACAAGCACACACACACACAGGCTCACATGTAGAACACACAGTAGCCTTCAGGAGTTGGTTTTTTTCCTTCCACCATCTGATTCCCAAAGATTTATTCAGGTTTTCAGGATTGGCACAGGCACCATCCTGCAGGCCCTGAGGGTATAAACTCTAAGCCAACAAGTAAGCCTAGTTCAGTGGGAAATAGAGCAGGAAAGAGTTGCTGGGAGCACATACAATGCTTCTGGAGCTCTAAGATCTCAAAGAACTCCTTACCTCCATACACAACTGATAAAGGACAAGACAAGCTGTGTGGTTAAAGAGACGATATCTTTTCCAGTTGAACTCTACAGTCCCATCTTTGTGGTCATGAGTTACTGTATCGGAGAGAGACAAACAGAGCTGCCTCAGAGGAGCCACCATATGACAGAAAATGATACATTACAGTGAAAAATTAAAGCTTTTGATACAGGGAGGGGCCCTGGACACATAAGACCTTTTCAGTAGAGTCTGGATGATGATGGGGCGGGGTGAAGGGCAGTAGGCTGAATAACCATATCTTCACTAAGCTCTGCAGCCCCCTGTCTTCCCGGAGCCTGCAGATCCCAGAGCAAAGAACCTTGGGGCTTTACCTTTAATTCTGTGGAAGACTTCTGGCACAAAAGCCTGAATGGCTTTGAACCTCTCCACCACAAACCCCAACGTTGGGAACTGGCAACTGCCATAGCTGATGAGCTGCTCTGCCAGAACCTCAGGGAAAATCCGCTGGAGCCGCAGGGTCTGGAACCTTGTGAAGGCAGCTCCTACAAGAGGAGGCCGGAGGAAGGAAGAACCAGACAGCAATGAACCATAGAGTTATTGTTGGCCCCATGAGCCAACACAAGGACCCACTTAGGCAGCGGCAGCCCCTCCGGCTCCTCACCAATCCGCAGATCCAGCTCCTGCCTCACATCCACTGCATCGCTTACTCTCTGGTCAGGCTCAGTCAGGTTTTCACAGGCTGCCCTGACGGCACGCGGCGTGATCTCAGAGAAACGGGCCCGTAACACCTGTAGACTGGGCTTTACTGAGAAGAGAAGGAAGCACAGATCCAAATTCAATCCGAAGTGCATCAGCACAAAAGCGGGTGCTCTTTTTTTTTTTTTTTTTTTTTTTAAATTTCCAAGACAAGGTTACTCTGTGTAGCTCTAGCTTTGCTGGAACTAGCTCTTGTAGACTAGGCTGGCCTTGAACTTACAGAGATTCACCTGCCTCTGCCTTCTAAGTGCTGGGATTAAAGGCGTGTGCCATCATTGCCCGGCTTTGTCATCGCTCTTCTTAAACTATCATGACATCCAGGCAAACCAAAACAAGAAGCTGGTTTGCCTTTCACCTCTCAGTTTAAATGGAAAAAAATAGCAAAGAGGGAAAGGATTTTATAATCCTTTATAACAATTTATTTATTTTACATCTCGACTACAACCACCTCTCCCTGCTCACTCTCCTCCCACTCTCCCCACTTCACCTCTCCACCCCCCTCCATCTATCCCTCCTCCAAAATCACTCAGAAAGAGACAGGCCTTCCCTAGGCTTTAAGCTGCCATAAGACCAAGCAGCTCCCCCTATATTCAGGCTGGGCAAGGTATTATAATCTTTAGGTCTTGTCAGAAATAACAGTGGAATCCATTTCAGCTATGAACTAAGATACTTTAGGTGAACCTTTTGAGATTTAAATCTTACTTGGATCTTTTGGCTTAAATTTAGGAAAAAGAACAACTTGAACAGTTAAAATATCTCTTAAAGTTTTATTTTAGGAGGCCAATCAATGGTGATGCACGCTTTTATCCCCAGCACTCAGGCAGAGGCAGGCAGATCTCTGTAAGTTCTAGGCCAGCCTGGCCTATAAAGTGAGTTTCAGGAATGTGACCCAGAGAATCCCTGTCTCGGGGGGAAAAGAAAATTGTAATGATGTGCATGTCTATGTGCGTGGTTCTGTGCATGAGTCAGGAGGAGCTGTGTATGGAGGAACTTGACCACGCCCACTTAACGCCCCCAAAGCAGATACTCAGCAGGAGACTCACCAGCCTTGCATACGTGGATAATCTCAAACCCAATGTTTTCACCTTCTCTGTCACAGTCAGTCCAGATCACCAGTGCCTGACAATGCTGTGCCTCTCGCTCCAGAGTCTTCTGAAATTACAAGGGAGAGTGCAGTGAGCAGGGAAATTACTTGGCTCCTTTATGCTACAGAATCTGATTTAGGAGGCTGCAGAGATGGCTCAGTAGCTGTTCTTTGGAGGGCTACAAGACAGTTCACAACCATCTGTTCCAAGGGATCTGACACCCTCTTCTGGCCTGTGGGGGACCAGACATGTATGTGGTACACTGACATGCACACAGGCAAAATACCTATACACATAAAAAAACTAAGTTAAATTTAAAAGAAAGAAAAAAATCTGACTTTGCTAGACAACATAGCTCATGTCTGTAATCCCAGCACTGGGGAAACTGAGGTAGACTGCTGTAAGTTCAGGTCAGCCTGGGTCACAGACTGAAACCCTGTTTCAATAATAAAACAAAACCCCAACCAACCAACCAAACAAACAAACAAAAAACAAAACAAAACAACGTCAGAGTCCACTGAGAAAGGTGACTGAGGATCAGCGCTGGCTGTGGCGTATTCAGACTTTTGGGGAGGTATGCAAGGACAGAGCAGAGAAAATTGCCTATGGTACGGTGTCTGCTACAGTCCTCCAGACCTGTGTGTTTATAGAAACTGAGGGTTTCACACAGCTTCATCAATATGATGAAACCCAAAACTCAGCTCTAAAACACTTCTGCCATCAGTTCTGATCAAACATCAGTCACTGAGTAAGTTCCTCCCTATCCCCTCCCTGACAGGGTCTCAGATAGCTATAGAGTTGAGGATGATCCTCAGCTCTGGCTCCTTCTGTCTCCATGTCCCCAGTGCTGGGATTGCAGCTGATTTATGGAGGATGATGATGAACTGAGTCATACATACCAGGGAAGCACTCTACAAAGTGTTCAATCCCAGGCCTGTTCCCGGAGATTCATTCTAACAAACTTTCCCAGGTAGAACTAAGTGCCTTGAACCGGTCATTTACCAGTATTATTATTCTTATTATTGTGTGGGAGGGCATGTGGATGCAACAGAACAACTTTGAGGAGTCAGTTCTGTCCTTTCACCTTAAAAAAATATTTAAAAATTTTTATTATTCTTAATTATGTGTATAGTGTGTGTTGGTGTGAGGGTTATGTGTATTTGAAAGCAGGTACCTGAAGGGGCTGGAGGTATTGGATTCCCCAGAGCTGGAGTTCAGGTGGTTGTGTGCTGCCTGGTGTGGAAACACTTTTCAGCACTGAGTTCACTGCTCTTTCTACCTCTATACTGGTCCCAAGCAGTGAACACAGGTCACCAGGTCAGGCTGGCCTAACAATTTTCTTTACTTTTCTTTAAGACATGGTTTCTCTGTGTTCCTTGGCTGTCCTGGAACTAGCTCTGTAGAACAGGCTGGCCTTGAACTCACAGAGACCCGCCTGCCCCTGCCTCCCAAGTGCTGGCTGGAATTAAAGGTGTGAGCCACCACTGACAGTTTACCTTTTTGAGACAGGGTCTCAGTATGCAGTTCTGGTTGACATGGTACTTGCTATGTAGACCAGGCTGGTCACAAAGTGAGAGATCTACTTCATAATAATTTATCTTTTAAACAGCCAATTATAGTTTGTAATTTTTTTCAAGACAAGATCTTGCCAAGTAGTCCTCACTGGTTTTGAACTTGCAACAATCCTCCTGCCTCTCCATTGGAAGTAAGAGATGTGGGTCCATATTACTCCATCTTACTTTAAAGCTTCTAGAGTTTACCTGAGGGTGATATGGGGGCTAAAATTAATTATTTAGTAACATTTATTCCTTGAATTTCACTTGAAAAGTTCCTTGGGTACTTACTTAGGTGGTTCATGCCTCTCATCCTAGCAATTTGAGAGGAAGAGATAGGAGTATTTATGCAAGGAGAAATCAACCTGGGCTATATGGCAAGACCATTTCTTCCAAACAAAACAAAACACTTCATTTACAATATACAATATTCATATACAATAGGTGGAAGAAACATTTTAAAGTCATGATACTGGTTGGGCATGGTGATGTACACTTTTAATCCCAGCAGAGGCAGGTGAATCTCTATGAGTTTGAGGCTAGTCTGGTCTACATACTATATTCAAGGCCAGCCAAGGTTACATAGTAAGATTCTGTCTCAAATAAACAATCAATCAATTAATTATGATACTGAGGTTAGTAGGAAATTTCAGTGCAATAAAAATATAGGAATCACTCAGTTCAATGACTTCTGGTTGTTTAATCTCAATGTCTTCCAAAGATCTTACCTTGATGTCTACAAAATTTTCTGGGCAGTACTTTTCAATTTCTGCTTCAAAGAGGACTAGGGGATTGCAGCTCTGCCTAGAATAGAAACAGAAACACAAAGGCCTTTACCTGCATGGACAGAGAGCCCCTCTCCATTAAGAATGTCTAACTACAGCAGACGCACAGGAGACCCTCCCATGGGAAATGGCCTAGAGAGCTGGGGACAGATGCTACTCAGAAGGCCGAAGCAGAAGAATCACTAGATCCCAGGACTTCAGAGCCAGGCTGAACAACATAGCAGGCTATGGCTCAAAAAAAAAAAAAAAAAAAAAAAAAACTATGAAAAAAAAAAAAAAAAAAAAAAAAAAAACCAACCAAACCAAAACAACAACAAAAAAAGGCTGGGCAAGGTAGCATGTGCCAAACATCCCGCACTTGGGACTATTAGTTAGTCAGAAAGACTGGAGATAGACCATGTCTCAAAAGAGAGAAAGGAAAATTGACCAGATGATTATAAGCAAAGCTATGAGTTTGTACATAACACACTGTCCACTCTCCCAAGCAGATGGACAGATGCAGAGAAGAAATTCGGAAGTCTTTTATGCACATCTGTAATGGAATAAAGACTGCACTGAAAAAATTTATTTAGGGGAACACCTCAAAGTGGGTATTTATTCTAAAGGGATGATAAAACTTATAGCGGGGCATATAGCCCTAGGTAATTTTAGTATTATAAATTAGTATTTACGAATTATTATAAATGACATGGTAACAAAAACATGCTTCAAAATCCCTGTAAGATTTGTTACAGCTTACTTCCCATACTAATTGTACTGACCATTTCCGAAACCTCATCTGGAAATCATGAGCCAGCAAATGTCCAGAGACTGAAGTCATTATCATAGTAACATTCTGAGAAACAACAAAACAAAAGTTAGTCTTTCTGTAGTTATACTTTGACAAATCATTCAATGAAAGGGAAAGAACAGACAATGAACAGAACAAATGTAACTCATTCACTCATATTCTCTCTCTCTCTCCCTCTCTCTCTCTCTGTTGAGAAGGGTCTCTCTATTGTCTTCACTGTCCTGGACTTCCCTATGTAGTAAAACAAGCTAGCCTCAAACTTACAGAGATCCATCCACCTGCCTCTGTCTCCTGATTGCTGAGATGAAAGATGCATGTCACCATACCCTACTACTGTTCTTTATTTTTTAAAAAATGTATTTACTTTATGTGTATTGATTATTTTGCCTGTATGTATGTGCACCATGTGCCTGTCTAGTGCTCTTGGAGGTTAGAAGAGGGCATCAGATCCCCTAGAACTAGCATTTAGAATGGTTGTGAGCCCTGTATTGGTGCTGGGAACAGAACCTTCATTCTCAGCAAGAGCACCAACTGCTCTGAAGTGCTGAGACATCTCTCCAGCCCCAATAATCACCATTCTAATACCAGTTCCATGATGCCTTTTGGATCATTTAAGATTTGCTCAGGAGGACAGACATGGTGGCACATGTTTTTGATCTCAGCATTTGGGAGGTAGAGGATATATCTCTGTGTGTTCTAGGCCACTCAGGACTACATAGTAAGACCCTATTTAAGAAAAAAGTCCACAGGGATGAGAGTTATAACCGTTATCAAGTGACTCAGTACTTGGTTTGAGGTCCTATGTTCCTTCCCCAACACAATGTTTTGGAATGTGTGTAGTAGAAAGATGAGGGTTTTTTGTTTGTTTGTTTGATTGATTGATTGATTGATTTTTTGAAACAGGGTTTCTCTATAGCTTTGGAACCTGTCCTGGAGACCAGGCTGGCCTCGAACTCACAGAAATCAGCCTGCCTCTGCCTCCCAAGTGCCGGGATTAAAGGTGTGTGCACCACCACCAGCTGGACCTTTATAACTTAGGTAAAACATAAGCAATTTAGAGAGGATCTGGGTATCTTTTTCATTTTTATTTATTTTAATTAACTTGTTCATTTACTATGTGGAGATCAAGACAAGTGTCAGCAGTTGGTTTTCTCCTTCCACTAAGTGGGTTCCAGAAGTTAAATTAGGGTCATCAAGCTTGTCCCTTTTATTTTTTGCAACAATGTTTTATTACACAGCTTTGGTGTCCTGGCTAGTTTTATGTCAACTTGGCACAGGCTAAAGTCATCTGAAAGAAGGGAACCTCAACTGATAGATGCCTTCTTAAGATCTGGCTATGACCAGGCTGTGGTAGCACACACCTTTAATTCTAGCACTTGGGAGGCATAGGCAGGCAGATCTTTGAGTTGAGGCCAGTCTGGTCTACAGAGTGAGTTCTAGAACAGCCAGGGCTACAAAGAGAAACCCTGTCTTGAAAAAACAGAAGGGAAAAAAAATATGATGAGGGAGGACCAAGTTCATTGTGAGTGGGGCCACCGCTGGACTAGTGGTCCTGGGTTGTGTAAGAAAGCAGGCTAAGCAAGTCACAGCATCCCTCGGTGGCCTCTGCATCAGCTCATGCTTCCAGGATCCCGCTCTTACTTCCTTTCACAATAAATCCACAGGGATGTGGATCCTGGAGGTGGTGGGATGCGTCTTTAATCAGATCCCTGTGAGTTTGAGGCCAGCCTGGTTTACAAAGACAGTTCCAGGACAGCCAAAACTGTTACACCAACAACAACAATAAAAACAAACCCAAACAACAATGAAAAACTGTGATGTAGAAGCATAACCTGAATAAACCCTTTATCCCCTAGTTGTTTGGTTATAGTGTTTCAATACAGCAATAGTTACCCTAGCTAGGCTGCATCTTAAAAATAACCCTTCTGCCTCAACTTCCCAAATGCTAGGATTAAATTATGGGCTAGCCACCATGCCTGTCTTATATATCAGCTTTATGATGGAAACACTTTAATACCTACTTGCCCATACAGATGATAGTCAAATTCATAAATCTTGTTGAATTTTGAAAGGCCTTCTTTCTGTAAAACAAAAGAAAAATACGTAAAAATTTCAAATCATATTTTAAAAAAATGACCCCCCAACAAAAGAATGAGCAATACCCAGAGGATGGGAGAAAAAGATATGAAAAAAGCAAAAGCAACTTGACACTCTAGCATTCGAGAGACTATGAATATTATAAGCTTGAAGCCTGCCTGGGCTACAGAGAACAAGATCAAACAAACAATTTCCTAAAATACTATTTCCTAAATATAAAGACTAACCAGGATGGGCTGTAGCTCAATAAAACACAATTTGCCCAGTGTGTACAAAGCCATAGGTTTGATCTCCAGTTGTGTGTGGTGGCAATGACTTCAATTCCAGCACTTAGGAAACAGAGGTAGGTGGATCTCTGTGAGTTTGAGGCCAGCTAGGCTAAATAATTAGGATTACTTATTAATATTGCTACCAAGCATTAAACCTATGGAGTTTGTATCCAGAAGGTAAATTTTGAATCCAGCTAATGGAATGCAGATGAGGAAGTAGACTTGTCCAAGGTCACATGACAAGTCATCGGGCACTATCTTGACCACCTGTTCTTTTCTCTCTTCACATTTTTGCTATTTCAGTCATACAACCAATAAACCAATAAACTTCCAATTATTGTCAGTGACTCTTCTGAGCCTCAATTTATGTCTAAATAAAGTCGTTTTTGAAGCTCCTTCTGATTCTCAAACCCATTCTTCAGCTACAGTTGGGAAGGAACAAGACCCTATCAGTACCCACGCTCCCCTCCTCAGCCATCAGGACAGTCTTAGCAGCTCCACACCTGCTGCATGTCCATGCAGAATACAACAGTGAGGCCGTCTGGAGACTGAAACACTCAGGGGCCGGGAAGGAATAAAACAGAAGATTGTCTCTCAGCCTCAAAAATACAAAATTTCTGCGTGGAACACTAGGTAAATTGGCCTTTATGGCAAAATGGTTTGTATATTTTTTCTTTTTGGTGTGCTGGGAATGGCGTCAGGGCTTGAAGCATACTTGGCTATACTCTCAAACCTGTAAGGGCAAATTTTGAAAGGGATACTATCAATATCTGATAATTACAAGTACAGTGTTGACTAACTCTAGGAAAAGGCTGGGTAACAGAGGCTTATAATCCCAGATACTTATAAAGTTTAGGTAAGAGGATCGGAAGTTTAAGGCCATCCTGGGCAACCTAGTGAGCCCTGTCTCAAGGTAAAAAGTTTAAAAATGACTGAGCATAGTTCAGTCAGTAAAGTATTTGCCACACCAACCATGAGGAACTGTTTGGATCCCCAGCACTAGTGTCCTCAGCTGGGTGCTGGGTGCAGTGGCCCCTGTAATCCTGACCCTGGGGGGGGGGGAAGCGGAGACAAGAGGATCCCTAGAATTTTCTGGCTAGCTAGCCTAATCAAGTGGGCAAGTTAATGAGAGACTTGTCAAAAAAAAAAAAAAAAAAAAACAAAGTGAAGGGTAATACATGAAAACATCAGACATATCCTCTAGTCTCCATGAGCACACACATTTGCATATACAAAATGTAATGGTTTGAGTGAGAATGCCCTCATAGGCACATGTATTTTAAGGCATAGTCACCAGGGAGTAAAACATTTTGAAAAGATTAGAGGGTGTGGCCTTGTCAAAGGAAGTGTGTCAATGGGGGCTTAGAGGTTTCTGAGACCCAATCTCTTTCTGTCAGCTGCCTATAGATAAGGATGTGAAGGTCTCAGTTCCTGCGTTAGCATCATACATGCCTGCCTGTGCGCCATCATGCTCCCAATTATAATAATGGACTAACCCTCTGAAACTATAAGCCGCCCCTAATTAAATGTTCTCTTTTATAAGAGTTACCTTTGTCATGGTGTCTCTTCACAGCAATAGGATAGTGACTATGACATAAATTCACACACACACACACATGCACACACGCACAGACATGATGCCCACATGCAGGCACTTGAACCCTAAACACACACACACACACACATGCTAAGTACAATGATACACATCTTTAAACCTAAAACTTGAGATGTGGAACTAGAAGAACCATGAATTTAAAGTTATCTTTAACTATATAATGAGTTCAATGCCAACCTGGTTACATGAAACCTGGGCTTAAAAAAACAAAAAGGGAAACCATGTAATATAACAGCTTCTGATGTAGGAAGGTCATCTGTCTATGTGTTACTTTCATTGGTTAATAAAGAAACTGCCTTGGCCCTTTGATAGGCTAGCCCTTAGGTGGGTGGAGTAGACAGAACAGAATGCTGGGAGAAAGAAAGCAGAGTCAGGCAGACGCCATGAAGCTCTGCCCGAGATGGATGTAAGTTAGAATCTCCCAGGTAAGCCACCACCTTGTAGTGCTACACAGATTATTAGAAATGGGTTAATCAAAATGTGAGAATTAGCCAATAAGAGGCTGTAACTAATGGGCCAGGCAGTGTTTTAAATGAATACAGTTTCCGTGTAATTATTTTGGGTGTAAACTAGCCGGGGAGCTGGATAGTGGGAAGCGGCCTGCCACTCCTTCTACAAGCTTCTGACTCGTTTTTATTGTTTTTTTTTTTT